ACACGCTTCAGCTGATCAATGACACGCTTCAGCTGATCAATGACACGCTTCAGCTGATCAATGACACGCTTCAGCTGATCAATAACACGCTTCAGCTGATCAATAACACGCTTCAGCTGATCAATGACACGCTTCAGCTGATCAATAACACGCTTCAGCTGATCAATAACACGCTTCAGCTGAACACAACAGATGAGGCGACTGTTCAGATTTCATTTACTGTCACACCAACAATCCAAAACTCCAAATATATTCAGTTCAGTTTTAAAAAACAAGAGCAGCACTTGTTAGATTCATGTACATCTGTGAATCTCCAACTATTGATCGATCAGTTTGATTAATGTTCTCATAAAAACAGTCTGAAGTCTGTCACTGCAGCTTCTTCAATGCTATAATTTTCTGGTTTCTTTCCTCTGTGACAGCAAACTGAAGACCTTCGGGCTTTGACACTCACTGATGTTCTGAGTTAAACATCTAATCGATCAGTTGTTTGGTTGTAAAACACAGAAAAGCCAGAAGTTATTCAGAAGAAGCTGGAATCAGAAAGCTTCTGTGGTTGACGTATGACTTTCATGATTATTGGAAGTATAGCAATGAGACCCAGATGATTTGAAACGGACATTATCTTGCTGATGACTCCATTAATCAGTCATGAACTGAAGATATAAAACAGGGGTGGGCAATCCTGGTCCTGGAGGGCCACAGCCTGCATGTTTTAGATGTGTCCCTCTTCCAACACACCTGATTCAAACGATCAGCTCATCATCAAGCTCTGCAGAAGCCTGATAACCATCCTGATCATTTGAATCAGGTGTGTTGGAACACATCTAGAACATGCAGGCTGTGGCCCTTGAGGACCAGGATTGGACACCCCTGATTTACTATTTCAGAAGGAAACAAATCACGTTGGATGTGCGGTTAAATAAGAACTAAATCTGGTTTGTCATCCAAACCTCTCTAGTCTGCATGTCTCAGGTTAGAATTCACCAGAACTGAACAGGCAGGACTGTGTGCTGCAGAGAAACATGAACCAGGTGAAGACAAAGGAGACGAGCTGCTGCCTGGACTGCAGACAGTCAGACTGAACACAAATTAAAGCACTTTCAGGAGGTTTTTCTTAGTTTTTTAATAACCAATGATCATCAAACTCAACAGTTTACGTCAGAAAACCTTCAAAAATGATCAGGAGAATGGAGCTGTAAGTGAGGTGTTGCTGGATGGAGCAGGGCTCCAGACGGTGGTCCACCTTGTGTTGACAGCGTGTGACTTCATATTTCATGTGGTGGCGTTGGTGCGCGTGAAGGCTGAAGCTGCATGAGTGCTGCTGTACCCGGCAGCTGCTGTGGTCACCGCAGGACCTGCAGCGGAGGAAGGAGGACTTCAATAGCTTTGGTGTTCTGCAGGATTTGTACTTAAAAACGCGACCTTCTCATGAAGCCCAGAGCCCTCCTGCTCAGGCAGGAGAGCGCCTGTAGAGAGAGTCCCTGGGTTTCAGCCCAGACAGATCTGACAGTAGTTTACTTTTTAAAGTTGTTTTTGTTCCCACAGTGGTGTGAGCGCCGCGGCCGCCGGTCAGCAACAACCAGAAACGTTTGGTCACCTCAACAGGTTCCAACGTGGGGCTGAGACGGACGCAGAGAAGACTTCTGGAGCCCAACCAGGACGTTTATGAGATTTATTTAGTTGTAGTTTTTGTCCCGAGTCATGTTTGGCAGTGGAACACATGCAGAAGTTGGTGTTCTCCGGTTCTGGTCTCAGCCCATACCGCTGTATTCCTGTCAGGTCAGAACCAGTCTGTCCTCTGCTGCTGCTTTACTCATTACATCTCTGCCTCGACTCATGAAGCTAATTGGTGCAAACCGGTGCTGGAGCTGCTTTCATTCACTCTGGGTTCAAAGAGCCACAAAACCCTCTTCTTATCGGTCATCACATAAAGAATCAGCCAAACCTGAGCTACGTTTATCTACCTTCACACTGTGAATGTTCCAGAGGTCCACAGAGCAGGGTCCAGATTGATCACCCTAATGAGCCTCAGAACTTCATCAGTACAGCAGATAGACACATGACATTTAGGAGGAGGAACACATCTGGGTTCTGGTAGAACCTGACACCAGATCAGTTCTCCATCCATCCAGGTGTCTCCGTCTGAACACTGGATGTTTGGACGACTTTCACGTCACTCTGAACAGTGTGTGGAGTAATACTGGACCTGCTGGACAGTGTTCATGTCATTTTAAACAGCCTGAGTCATTCAGGACAGTTCATCTGTAATTCTGGACGACTTTAACCTCATTTTAACTATTTTTAATTGATGAAAAACACATTTGAGTTCTGCTAAAAACTGCAAACTCAGTGAGTTTTACATCGATCCAGGAGTCGGCGTCTGAAGACTGAATCGTTGGACAGACACGGAGTCATTTAGGACGACTGTCATGTGATTTAGAAGAATTGTTTGAGGCATTATGAATGTTTCTGAGTCATTTCAACAGTTTCTGAGTAATTCCAGACAACTGTGACGTCTTTTTCAACATTTGTGCAACGTTTGAGAGACTTGGGAGCATTTCTGTCATTTTAGACGACTTTCATGTGATTTGACCGATTTTAGGAGGAAACACATCAGAGTTCTGGTAGAACCTGAGCCCAGATCAGCTCTACATCCACCCAGGTGTCTCAGTCTGAACACTGGACCTGGTTCTGGTAGCATCAGTATTATGGGATGTAGTGACGGAGGTAGAACACACAGCAGTGGTCACACTTTCATGCTCTTATTGTTTTCCAGCTACAACAAATGAAAGGTCTCCTCTTTCCAGAACATTCCCAGTGAAGGTGAACATGCACTAAAGTTAGCAGGAGAACCAGATGTTCTGAGCAGGACTGAGGTGGCCTATGTCAGTGGTTCTGATGTGTTTCTGACCGTGTCTTGTCTCGCTGCCTCAGGTGTAGTCGGGAGGATTCGCTGCCTGCCACAGAGCCATGGAGCCTGATGTGATCCGCATGTTCTCGTCCTCGCCGCCGCCGATGGAGGACGGCGCCGACGAAGAGGACGACGAGTTCGGAGACTTCGGCACCTTCTCCGGCGTCCCGAACAGCGTCAGCTTCACCGAGTTCGACACCCCGACCACGTTCAACCAGACCCAGGCTCTGACCGCCACCTCGCCGCCCGAGCTCATCAACAGCAGAGGGGTGGTGGGCTTCAGCTCCTCCAACGGCACCGAGCAGCCCAGGGCGAACGGCGTGGTGCCGGCGGGCCACCGGGGCGGCGGCGGCTCCTCGGACAGAACTGAGCTGAAAAAGGGGCTCTCCATCCCCGCGGAGCCCGCCGACCGCAGCGGGGGGGAGGTGCTCACGAACGGGTTCGCCACCTGTGGCGTTCAGGAAAGCCCGTCCTCACAGAATTCTGTCCACTCGCATATAAAACTGAGGTCCACGGAGGACACGGGCGGTACCGGCAGCCCGGAGGACGACTTCGCGGACTTCGCTGCTTTTTCTGACAACGAAGGACACGTCAGCCGGCCGCCAGGCCCCGTAGAGGGCAGCGGGCCGGACGAGGACTGGGACACACCGCAGGGAACCACTTCAGAGGACTATGTCAGGGACACGAACAGAACCGGGTCTGATGCCACCTGTGTCCCCGCTGAGAGCCCGGACGGCTCCTGCAACACGGACCGGGGCGGCTCAGACTCTCCGCTAAGGGACGTGGCCTCTGCACAGGAGGCGGTTGGCACTCGCCAACCTCTGGCTCTGAACGGGCTGGACGGAACCGACAGGGACGGATCCAAAGAGGGCTGCAGCGACGCCGACCTGTCGCCCGCCGCCGACAGCGAGGCGGCGCAGTCGGACGAGAAGAGCTCCGAGACGGAGACGTCGTTCGGCCGCCCGCTGTCCACCGACGCCCTGGAGGAGTACGGCGACATGAGCACCACGGGCTCGGTTCCGTCGCCGCCGCTGCAGGGCGAGCCGGCCACGCCCGCCGACCACAGCCAGCTGGCGGAAGACGACGAGGACTTCGGGGACTTCGGCGACGCCGGCTCGTTCGGTGGGCCGGGCTTCGCGGACTTTGAGCCGCTGGAGGTGCAGCAGGACGGGAGCCGGTCGCTGAGCTCCGCCGCCGCCGCCAACAGCGAGCAGGACGACGACTTCGGGGACTTTAACTGCCCCAAATTTCACAGCGATGCAAACCAGGCGGAGGACGGAGGCACGTTCGCCGACTTCCCCGTCAGCGACAGTTTTGGCAACTTCAGTTCGGCCGAAGGCGGCGAGGCGGACGGCGGCTGGAGGGCCTTCGGGGAGCAGCAGCAGGCGGACGGACAGTCGTGGGCGGCGTTCGGCTCCGAGCAGAGCGTCGGTCGTCCTGCAGAGGTCAGGGAGGAGCAGCAGGAGGAGCAGCAGCAGGAGGAGGAGGAGGAGGAGGAGGAGTGGCACGAAGGTGAAGCTCCTGCAGCCAGCGAGGAAACCAGCAGGACGGACAGACAGACGGTAAGAACGGCATTGTTAGGACCTCCTGACAGGTTGTCCGTCTATGAGCTAGAACCTGGTGGAGCAGAAAGATCAGAGTCTGTCTGATGGTTCTCTCCTTCTTTGAGATGTTCCGTCAGGAAGATGAACAAAGTCTGAGCTACAGATCCTGATGTTTCATCAACATCACTTCATTCTACACGTCACACATTTACCACAGAGAAAGCTGTAGATAGTTGAGCGTCTGCAGTAGAGGACACAGCGTGGAACATCTGTGGAACCACCTGCTGGGTCCAGGCTGTTGAGGCCTGCCAGCGTTACCGTGTCGTGGTTTTTGTCAGGCCGTGAGAGTCCACGTCACAAGTGTTGTTGAATCAGGAGGCTGAGCGTGTCGGTGCCTGAACCACCTGGTTTCTATCCATCAGCAACAAACGGCAGGCCTGAGGCATGATTATGTCACATGTTTAATCCGTGTTTCAGTACTTCCTGGATCAGTCCATCAGCTCATCTAAAATGTGGATCAGAGTTTCCTCAGATGTCAGATCTTCAGCTTACTGACAGTTTTTACTAAAATGCCTCAAACTATCGATTCCTGATCAGAATAGATGGAAATGAATGTAATGACTGACAGCTAATTGGTTAATTGGTGCTCTGGACTTCAATGAGTCACTCTGAGCTGAATGTCTTTGGCTGTTTCCAGCAGAGATGTGTCGCTGATTAACTGAAGTAATTAGGCAGAGACTAGTGAACATGAAGGTGGTCACCAGCTGCTCTGGACCTTTCTCACGTTTTAGCCAAAACGCTGCTGAAAGACAGAAACCGTTGTGATTGTTTGGGTCGTGACAGCTAATGGATGAATGCGTGCAGCTCTGACGGCCATCAACACGTCAATAGAACTAAAACCACCAAAAACAGCCACCGCTCCTCGGCCCACATGTCAGCCTTTGTGCTTACTGCCTGCAGCGTTCCACGTCCAGAACCACGAGTTCAGTCAGACGGAACCTGCGACTGTTCCAGTGACCAGCTGCTAACCAGTTCAGAGTTTCCATCAAACCAGCTCCTTGCCCTGTTTGCTGAGGAATGTCACCTGGTCAGGTGTTGGAGCTGCATTCCTGTCAGACTAGCGCACACACTGTAGCTCACTGAGGCCTGGTGCCAGCAGCCCGACGCTCACCTGAGTTCACCTGCAGCTGGTTCCAGCAGTGCTGGTCCGCAGAGCAGAACTCTGAGGACGTGACCGCACCAGTTCTGTCTCCACGTACTTCAGATATTTATATTTATTGACCATGTGCAGTGAGGTTAGCGGGGTTCCTGGGTAGCTGAAGTGCTGTGGCAGAAGATGTGATGATAGAAGTTCAAACTGCAGCGTTTTCCGAGCTAGTAGCCTCTGAAACAGCAGACCTGTGAGTCGGAGGGGAGGGTTTGTAGTAAACAGCTGCTGTGGTCTCTGCAGGCGTCGCTGTCCGGCCGCCTGGAGAAGCTGTTTCAGAGCAGCTTCCCTCAGACCGCCGCCCGGCCGCTGGACCACCACGTGGTGTCCCTGAAGATCCTGCTGGAGCCCCCAGAGGACGGAGCTGGAGCCGAGGACCAGAGCAGGTCGCCATGCAACAGGTGAGCCTTCGTCCTCAGAGGTTGAAGTCAAGACAAAGACTCCACCAGCAATGGAAAGCTGGTCTTCATGCTCAGACCTTCAGACATGACTGAAGGGGTTCCTGTCTGGCAGACAGCTGTTGCTGCTGGTGGAGCCTCACAGGTATCCAGTGAACACGTAGATGTAAGCAGGAACTCTATCAGCAGGTTCACCTTCATACGAACACAAGTCACTACCACTAGACTAGAAGAGAAGACTGGATCCTGTCTGTAGACGGTTCTGGTAGGTTCTGGAGGTAAACCGGTCCTTCATCGTCCAGAACTGGTTCTGACCAACCACCATCACACATGCTGATATGAGCCTGGAAAGTTTACCCAGAATGCACTTTGTAGAGTTTCCTCTAGTGACTGATCAGAACCAGAACCACATCCAGGGTACCAACTGTTACCACGGTGAGACATCCCATAATACTGATGCTACCAGCTGGTCAGGAATTGATCGGAAATGTTTTGGGTCACTTTGGATGGTAGGTTGGATCCATTTTTAGTGAATTTGGGCATTTTGTGGTTATTTTGATTTATTTTTAACTGATTTCAGACAGTTCTGGATTAAATGTGGACGTTGTTTAGTGATACTGGTCCAGTTTTCAGTCATTTTAGGAACATTTGTAGACATTTTGGATCCATTTTAGATATTTTGCAGATTTTTTTTGTCATTTTAGGCACGTTTCTGCCATTTTGGAAAGATTTTAAGGCAATTTGGATAAATTTGAGGTATTTTACACAATCTTTGGCTCATTTTAAGCAATTCTTTAGTTACTTTGGTCGGACTGAACCAGAACCACATCCAGGGTACCAGTGATTGTTCCTATGACTCTGTGTCATAGACATTAAACTGGTACCACTATGAGACATCCCATAATACTGATGCTAGCAGCTGCTGACAGAGGACATGAACAGAACCAGGTCCAGTGTTCAGACTGAGACACCTGGATGGATGTAGAACTGATCTGGTGTCAGGTTCTAGCAGAATTCAGGTGTGTTCTTCCTCCTAAATGTCATGTGTCTATCTGCTGTACTGATGAAGTTCTGAGGCTCAGAAATGATGGAAAAAGTCCATTAAGGTGATCGATCTGGTCCCTCCTCTGTGGAACTCTGGAACATTCACAGTCTGAAGGTAGAACTCTGGTCAGTAGATAACGGTTCTGCAGAATCAGAACCAGATGGTGTTTTCTGGGATGAAGATCATTAAACCGTTGAGCTGCAGGTGGTTTGAAGGTTTCTGTTGATGATCAGTGCAGCTCTGTGATAGGTCGGGTCAGTGTCATGTGACCTGCAGGGGAACAGACAGTTGGAGTGTTGATTCTATGACTGCACCTGTCCCTGACTCGGCTGCGTCTGATTGGCTGCAGGTCCGGTGGGCGTGGCAGCGTCTGGCTGCAGCTGCAGGACATCCACGAGGCTCTGGGCCTCCGGTACCAGTGGGGCGGCTCCCACTGCAACAAGGCCCTGCTCTGCTGCCTGGGCATCGACACCCGCAACATAGTGAGTCCCTGCACACAGACACACAACACACTGCAGCACACTGACACCTCAGGGCCTTAATGTGGAGCTGGAAGATCTACTGAACCCACTGAACGCTGCAACAGAAAGTCCTGCAGCTCTGTGGAACCAGAACAACACCACAAAGAGACACAAAACAGCCACAAAGAGACAGAAAACAGCCACAAAGAGACAGAAAACGACCACAAAGAGACAGAAAACCACCACAAAGAGACAGAAAAC